TCTGAGCATGCAGTGGGCAGCCTGGCATCTGTAGAGGTGAGTGGAGGGGGGCTCTTTGAAAAACAAATGCTAAGAATTAATCACATTCGAGGTTCTGAAGCCCTGGGACAATCCTGCCCTGGAAAGAAGGAAGAGTGTACAGAATGAATATGCCTGATTAGTTCACTGCAGCTCTGTATGCTGTGCCTATTGGTAATTATATTTTAGAGGACAAACTCTGATGTCTTGGCATCTCGATATTAACACCAGAATGTTCATAGGTGCTGCCTCACTGTGGTTTCTGAAGATGGCTCTACCTCGGGTTTGGTCCCCAGAGTGGGTAGGTGTGGTGGAAAGGACACGCTTGTTCCTTTCTACACGTGGTACAAAGAGATCTATGGCTGTAACCTCATTTTAAGGTGTGAGTAGACGAGGTGGGTCTGGCCATAGCCTCCTTGCTCGGGGCTGCTCCGTTCTCTATAGAGGGCTTCCTTGTTATGCCTGGGGTTGAATTACCCAGAATCAATGTCCCTTCTCCTGCTCGAGCACTCACACACCACCACCACCACCACCACTGGCACCAAAAAGTTCTGCAACCCAGCCTCAAGATACACTTCAGTGGGCCCTGATCCGTATCTGACAGTCTGTCACCTTCCTATTTCTCTGTTCAGCTTCTTGGGGCAGCAGCGAAGGTGCCTTGTTGCCAACCACCTACGCACATTTCCATCTAGGAGGGGTGAGTTGTAGGCACCGGTTCATTCAGGGGGTCAGCTGAATCCTAGGACCAGGCTGTCCCCGAGGCTGGCTTACTGGTTAATGATTATGACCAAAGGAAGGCTGAGGCAGGGCCCTGAGAGACTGAGGACCACTGATTCGTGGAATGAAAGGGCAGGATAGATTCTCTCTCTAGGTGCTACTGGGAATTTAGGAAGAAGAGAAAACATCCACAAGCAAATGCATTTCCATATCAGAGATGTGGCATATTACAGATGAATTCAGTATCTGCTTTCCTTCCTGTTGATTTGTGAAGCAGGCTTGGCGCTAAAGCCTATTCTGCTTCCACAAAGACAAAGACAGATGGAAGCCCTGCACTGCAGATATCCTGAGTCCATTAGTTTGGACTGAGGCGGGCGACTTATGGCTCTAGCAGGCTGAAAAAGTGGCAGTTTTCTCATCTGGAAAATGAAAGGCTTGGACTGGATAATCTTCCCTCCAGCGCTAGCATTCTGCGTTTTCTTTGATTTTACATCAAAATGGTATTTTCTTAATCAGCTCTCTACTGCTTCCTTTCTTAGATCATTTTTCTTCCCATTGCAGAAGCAGGCATGAGTTTCCAATCAGTTGGTGCACAGAGCTGCCAAATCTTTGCTGCTAATCAGCAGGCAAAACATACTCCAGTTTCCAGATCTGGAACCAGCTTCTTTCCAAGACAGTTAGAAGAGACTGGCTTTGCAAATTGCTTGTTGAGGAAATTTGAGCATTAAAATGACTGATTAAGTATTGGTGTTAATGTGATTCATTCATTATCAAAAGCAAGTTGTGTACCACGTAGTTTGAAAACTCTGCTCAGAACATAGCTAAATAGAAATGTATAAATGGGTAGACATGCATGTAGTGTTAAGCCTAGCTGCTTAAATGCACAGGTGCATGCACACCTACACACACACACACACACACTATAGGCAAAGGGTTGAAATTCCATAGCCTAGAATGTCTGTGATACTATTTGTTTCTGCCAGAGAAAAGTCCATATCAACAGATACCTTCCGTCCTCAATGCCTAGAATCTCCAATTACTGTTTTAGCACTTAGTTCTATTAGTTGAATACAGATTCCTACATAAATTCGGATCGTCTTAAGAGGGTCACACTTCAAAAAAAAAACCTCAGTTCATTAGACTTTAGTGTGAATTAACTTTGGATTTCTTTTTGATGGAACTGGAGGGTATTATGCTGAGTGAAATAAGTCAATCGGAGAAGGACAAACATATGGTCTCATTCATTTGGGGAATATAAATAATAGTGAAAGGGAATAGAAGGGAAGGGAGAAGAAATGGGTAGGAAATATCAGAAAGGGAGACAGAACATGAAGACTCCTAACTCTGGGAAACGAACTAGGGGTGGTGGAAGGGGAGGAGGGTGGGGGTGGGGTGAAAGGGTGACGGGCACTGAGGGGGGGCACTTGACAGGATGAGCACTGGGTGTTATTCTGTATGTTGGCAAATTGAACACAAATAAAAAATAAATTTATAGTAAAAAAAACTTTGGATTTCTTTTTAAAGAGGCGATGTGGATAAGGGCAGACCTGAGAGTGATGGAAAAGTTGAACAGCCTTAGAATTCTGAATGGAAAGGAAAGGGGATTAGAGTATGTGAACATGCGTGTGTACATGTGTATCTGCGAGTGTGTGTGTGTGTGTGTGTGTGTAGCTGGGGAGTGAGCTACAGAAAACCAAACTTCAGGTTGGGTTCATTCATTTCCTCTGGATTTTTAAAAAAGATTTTATTTATTTATTCATGAGAGACACAGAGAGAGAGAGACAGAGACATAGGTAGAGAGAGAAGCAGACTCCACGCAGGGAACCTGATGTGGGACTCAATCCCGGGACTCCAGGATCATGCCCTAGGCTGAAGGCAGGCACTCAACTGCTGAGCCACCCAGGCGTCCTGATGACCTCAGGATTAATCAGCATTGTGTACAACCCTGTAATATGGCCTTTTAAGCTAAACCATCTTTCCCCCCTCTGAACAGGCGAATAATGTTTATTTTAATTTTACTTATTTTGACAAATAGTTACACATGCACAAGGTACTGAATTTCAAAGCTCAAAAGAGATACCAAGGACCTTGTCTCCCAGCTCCCAGTTCTTGGAGACTACCGCTGTAACCAGCTTCTTGTTTGAGGTGTTGATAAATATTTTCACATATGAGAGCATACTATGCACTCTGATCAGCCTGCCCCTGCTTTTCTTGCTTAGTAATATATCTCGCGGGGGATCCCTGGGTGGCTCAGTGGTTTAGCGCCTGCCTTCAGCCCGGGCGTGATCCTGGAGTCCTGGGATCGAGTCCCACATCGGGCTCCCTGCGTGGAGCCTGCTTTTCCCTCTGCCCCCCCCCCCCCTCTCTCTCTGTCTCTCATGAATAAATAAAAACTTAAAAAAAAAGTAATATATCTTGAGATTTTCCCCCTATCAGTGGACAAAGAACTGCCCTCTTCTTTATAATGGCTGTATAGTACTCGATTGAATGGATACAGCATTAATTTTTTAAAAGTCTCCTATTGATGAAGATTGAGATTGTTTCCAATCGTTACCCATTAAGAATGGTGCCGTAGTGTAGTGTATGCTCTTGTCCACAGGCCAGGTTATTATAACTCCTGAGAACTTTATACTTCTCACAAAGGATTCAGTGCAGATGGTATTCTTGCTAGTTGTGCAATACAGTGGCCCTTATAGAGCATTTCACACATGACTGATTACACTTGTAGGATAAATTCCCAGGAGTTGCATGTGTGTAATATTTCTCACTTACATGAGATGATTTTAATACCCGATTACCAGGCCCACTTTTAATGTGGTCATCATCTTTCGAGTGCCCTCCAGATGCTCGTCATGGGTGCCCAGAAGTATCACAATATTCTAGATTTATTCTGACCTCATCTAATCAGTAAAGAATACAACTTTTACCCCTCTTGTTTTGGGCAGTGCACTTTTATTAATGCAGCTGAAGATTGTATTAGTTTTTTGGCAGCTCCATCCCACTATTGGCTCCTTTTGAGAATTCTATCAACTCAAATCCCTGGGTCTTTTCTCAAATAAATTACCATGAAACCATATTCCACTTACCTTGTACTTGTATAGTGGAATTTTATAACTTAAAAGCAAACTTCTGACTTACCCACGTTAAAATATATTTTTACATATTTCAGATAATATTTAATATATATTGGAGTCTCTTCTAAGCTGTTGAGTTATCTCTACATCTCCATCTGGCCGTCAAAATTTTATCTTCCTGAACCTATTTTCCATTACCCACTCATAGTGAGCTTAATGCCATGGCTATAGGTATTGACACTGAAAGAATTTTTACAAAGTTATGATTGTTATAGCTTGTGAGACATGTGAGGGAGAGATGGGGAGAGAGAGAATATTTCAAACAACTAATGGGAAAAATTTATCTAAGATTTCAGTTCTAGGAACAGCTAAGCTTCTCCTGAGCAATTAATTTGTGTATAGCTTGTGGGCATAGTTAATTGTGCAATACATCATGTTTTCCTATTTATTTTGGCTGCTAGGAAGTTCAAAGGCAAATTTGCAATGCAGTTCTAGTGTACAATAAATGGTTTATATTTTGTGTACCTATCTTACCCTTGACCACTTTTTATTTTCCAACCATATTTTTTTTCCTTTGCCTTTGTTTTCTAGATCACTAAAAAAAAAAATCTTGTGTAAAATTTCTGAGTTTCCTTAAATTCTTCTTTGGTAAGAGGTATTGTAAAAACCAATACGCAGGCAAATGAAATCTTGGCATGACAAATTTTTTAAAGACATCAAATACCTTCATATTTCAGATTTACAACAACAGCAACTATAGGGAAAGAGAATTGTGATGGAATAAAAGGTATAATCTTGTAATTAACAGCTTCAGAATCATTCAAAACAATGGTTGGGTGTTAAAACAGTAAGAGTCTCATGGAACTCAGCATGTAAAATAAAATGTAATCACATAAATGAAGTTCTCAAATTCAAATACCTTCAAGGGCCAGGAAGATAAAGTAAATAAAAGGACAAGATAATAGAGAACACTAGAAACGAGGGACTCAAGAGTGCCTGTCCCACTCAAATATATCCAAGTATGCTATCACACTAAACATTTGCAGACTCATCAGTTTCTAGTTCATAATTTGTGAATCACTACCCCCTCCCCAAGTTTATAAATGTGACCAAAGTAAAAGTTTGTAAAAATTCTGACAAAACAGAAAAATCCTAGGCCGAGAAATTAAACTTTTTCCTTTTCTTGTTCAGGTTATTGGTTGCCTAGTTATAAATTAAAGTTTTCCTGGGCAACAGGCCTGCACCTGTCTGTCTTGTTTGGTCATGTGGAATGTCTTCTGGTGCTGCTGGACCACAATGCTACAATCAACTGTAGACCCAATGGGAAAACCCCTCTTCATGTGGCATGTGAAATGGCCAACTTGGATTGTGTTAAGATCCTCTGTGACCATGGAGCAAAGCTCAATTGCTACTCCCTAAGTGGACACACAGCCTTACACTTCTGTACAACTCCTAGCTCCATTCTCTGTGCCAAGCAATTGGTTTGGAGAGGTAAGACTTTCGGGGTGGCTGATGTTGTCATCTACTTGCATACTCATGGTTTTGAAACTTGGTGATCTTTACTTGCTTTACGTAATGTAGTCTACCAATGTAGTCCCATTGGTAGGTCTCATTAGGGGATCCTAAAAACATGTAAGTATATGTATATTTATATAATGATATAAATAAAAGTGTTGGTCCGGTAAATTCAGCGATGAACACATTGGAATCATTATTATTTTCATTGTAGGGGCTCATTAGTTTACACATTTATTTAACAAATACTTATTTAGTTCTTAGAATGTGTCAGTTAATGTGCTAAGTAACTGAAAAAAATAGTTTCTGTCCTCAAGAAGCTATATTCTAGTAGGGGAGATAAATACTAGCAAAATAAATTCATAAATATATCATAAATTGACAAAGGAGCAAAACAGTGTTATGAAAGAGAATATCAGGAGTGAACTATTGTAAAATATATAAAGACTTCTCTAAACATATGACGTGTAAAGCTGAAACTTTATGAATGAGAGGGAGCTAGCCATTAACAAAGGCACCAAGGGGAAGAGGAGTCTAGGTGTAGAGAATAGCTTGTGCAAACTCTCTAAGGGAGCAAAAAACTGGACTATTCAACACTTGGAAGAAGGCTAGTATGGTCAGAGTATCATGGGTGTGGGGTGGTTGGGAGGGATAAGAGGGTATAGGGGAGTGCCACAAGATGACATTGAATGTGTTAGGTCATGTACATCTTGCTGTGGGCCAAGGCATGGGGTTTAGAAATGGAGGCACAGAAAAGTTTTATGCAAAGCAATGACATGGTTTAATTTTCACTTAAAATCATTATTCTGAAGTTATGCAGAAATAGGGTTGGAGGAGGCCAGGAATGGAAGGAAGCAGGGAGACCAGCAGCAAAGCTATTGCAACAGTGTGGGTGAGAAGGGATGGTGATTTGCATGAAGGGCCAAACTTGAATAGGAAGATTAGAAGATGGGTTTACAGTATATTTTAGAAGCTGAGTTAATGACATTTGGAGATGGATTATAGCTGGATGAGTGGAGAAGGAAAAGAGATTTTCAAGTATCATTGCCAGGTTTCTGGCTTTAGAAAAGTGTGTGGAGAGTGATGCCATTTTTAAAAAAGATTTATTTATTTGAGAGAGAAAAAGAGAGAGAGCGCACAGAGGGGAGGGGCAGAGGGAGAAGGAGAGAGGTTTTAAGCAGACTCGGTGCTGAGCATTGAGCCAGATGTGGGGTCTACGTCACCACCCTGAGACCAGGGCCTGAGCGGAAACCAGGAGTTCCATGTTTAACTGACTGAGCCATCCAGGTGCCCCGTGATGCCATTTTTTAAGATGGAGGGAGTTGAGAAAGAAGCATGTATGTGGAAAAGATCATTAAATTAGCTTTTAGGGGCACCTGGCTGGCTCAGCCAGTTAAAGGTCTGACTCTTGATTTTGGCTCAGCTCATGATCTCAGTCCTGGGATAAGGAGCCCTGTGGCATCTCCCGTTCAACGGGAATCTACTTGTCTCATGCTCTCTCTGCACCTGTCCCTCACCCCCTGCCCTGTGCTCACTCTCTTTATGTCTCTCTCAAATAAATAAATCTTAAGAAATTAATTTTTTTCTGTCTGCCTGTCTGTCGCTGAAACACAACGTGTCAGCAAGAAATTAATTTTTTTAAAGTCAGTTTATAGAGGTATAATTCACCCACAGTAAAAATTCAGTATTTTTGAGAGAAACACCTAGTCATGAAATCAATCATTACCACAGTCATTTCAAAAGTTCCCTGACCTCCTTTATAATTAATCCCATCACTTTACCTCCCACCTCCAACAACCACTGATCTGTCTTCTGTCCCTATAATTTTGTCTTTTTCAGAATGTCATAAAAATTAAATTATACAATTTGTAGCCTCTTGAGTCTGTTTTTTCCTACTTAGCATAATGCATTTGAGATTTATCCATGTGGTAGTTGCACTTATCTGTATATCAGATCTTTGATTGCCAAGTAGTATTCCTTATATAGATGTAACACAATTAAGCTGCTCTCTAGTCGAGGGATATTTGGATTGTTTCTAGTTTCTGGGAATTTTGTAAAAAAGTTGATATAAACATTTGCATACAGATTCTTATGTGGAAATGTTCTCATTTCTCTTGGGTAGATACCCAAGAGTAGGATGATGGGTTGTATGGTAAATTTACAAAATTGCTAAACTGTTTTTCAAACTAGCTGTACATTTTGCATTCTAACCGGCAATATATGAGTTCAGTTGCTCTCCATCCTTGTCAGAAATTGGTAATGTTAGATTAAAAGAAAAATTTATTTTAATTATTTTAATAGGTATATAGTAGTATCTCATGATGATTTTAATTAAGATTCCCCTAGTGACCAAGGATGTTGAGTATGTTTTCATGTATTTATGTGCCAGCTGTGTAATTTACTTTGGTGAAATATCTGTTCATATCTTTTGCTACTTCTTTTAAAAAAGGAGTTTTTTGTTTTCTTATTATTGATTTGTAAGAGCTCTTTTCATATTCTGGATACCAGCCCTTTGTCAGAAATATGATTTGCAAATATTTTTATTCATCTTTTGACTTTTCATTCTTCCTACCTTTAGAAGAGTAGTATTTAATTATAAGTATTTAATTATAACAAATTTAATTTATCAATTTTTACCTCTTATGGTTTATGCTTTGTGTGTCCTACCTAAGAAATCTTTGACTAACCACAGGAACAAAGATTTTCTCCTATGTGTCCTTCTAGAGGTCTCATAATTTTAGGTCTTACTTTTTGGTCTTTGACTCATTTTAAGTTAATTTTTGGATATGGTACAAGGTACAGTTTGAGGTTCATATTTTTTATACATGGATAAATTATCTTACATATCCAATTGCCTCAACATCATTTATTAAAAAGACCATTTTTTCACTAGTGAGTTGCCTTCGTATCTTTGTCAAAAATCAAATGGCCAGATATGTATGGATCCACTGATATATATAAATATAAATATAAATATAAATATAAATATAAATATAAATATAAATATAAATATAAATATATATATATTTTTTGCTAAAGTTCCACTAACTTGATCCCTGGAACCTTATATTAAGTTTCAAAACCAGAGTGAGTTTCCCCAGATCAGTTTTAAACATAAGAAGTTTCAGATCTCTTTGAGACCTCAAAGTGAGTAAGTCAAAGCTGCCCTTGACATAAATGTATGGATTGCAGAAGAGAGCTCTGGACTAAAGCTGTGACTTTAGGAATTGTTGGCCTATAGATGGTATTTGAAGCCAAGGAAATCAATGAAATCACTTGGATAAAGAGTGTGGAGAGAGAAAAGAGAAGATAGGACCAAGCCCTGATAAATTCTTGCATTTAGATGTTAGCAGGATGGAGAGGGGCCAAGCAGAGTGAAATGGATTGGCAAGTGAAGTGAGAGAAAGCCCAAGAGCATTTTTGGCATCATAGGGACTGAGAAAGAGACAGGTTCAAGTAGGAGGAGGTGGTCGGCTGTATCAATAGCTACTGAGAGATTTAATTAGATATTCATTAGCTTAAGTGACAGAGTTATCACTGACAAAAGCAGTTTGGGGAAAATGGTGGGTGTAGAAGTCAGATTAGAATGGTATAAGGTGTGAATGGGAGGTTAAAAACTAGGGATGCTACATAACTGTTCAAAAAAGTCTGGCTACACATGTAAGCATATGAGTAGCATGATTTCTGAAGGGGGTTAGAGGCATAGGAGAGTACTCTGTACTTGGAAATAAAAGGAAATATTTGCATGCTAAAGGGAATGATTTATAATAATTATAATATTATAACAATTATAATTTATAATTTCAAACCATTGAAAATGCACAAGACGGGATAACTAAAAGGTTCAAATATGAGAGGCTGAGATGCAGTGAATTCTAGAGACTGTGAGATACATCCTCACTTTTTTTTAAAGGTTTTTAATTTATTTATTAATGAGAGACACACAGAGAGAGAGACAGGCAGAGACACAGGCAGAGGGAGAAGCAGGTTCCATGCAGGGAGCCTGACTTGGGACCCGATTCCTGGTCTCTGGGATCACACCCCGGGCTGAAGGCGGTGCTAAACCTCTGAGCCACCTGGACTGCCCATACATCCTCATTTTTAACAGATGGGCCAAAGTAAAGGATGGCCTTAAAATGCCAGAGTGTTTATAGATGTGGCAGTGGTAAGATGAGGGAGTTCACATCTGATAGCCTTTCTCCCTCAATAATGTATGAGGCAAAGTCATCAGCCAAAAACAAGAGGAGAAAGGTGGAAATTTTGATGAGAGTGGGAAGGTATGGAAAGGTCATGGGGGAAGATTGGGAGAACAAACTTAAAGATGCCATGGTCTCCTCAACCTGTGAGAAGTCAAGGGGAAAAAAATCAGGCCAGCTTTTTCTCCTTCTTGCCTGCCTTGGAGGGAAAGGTTTAGCCCAGAGACACATGGAGAAGGGTAGGTGTCAGTCCAGGCATAGCCACCTATGGGATGTGGCCATCACTACTGTTCACATTTACTTACACATTTATGGTTTTTAGGTTTAGTTGTTAGTTTAACTTTAACTCATTAATTTAAACTTTTAAGCTTCTTATTTTTAAAATTGTTAGAAAGTTGAGGCACCTGGGTGTCTCAGTCAGTTAAGCGTCTGCCTGCAGCTCCAGTAGTGATCCCAGGGTCTGGGGGATCGAACCCCACCTCAGGCTCCCTGCTCAGGAGGGAGGAGTTTGCTTCTCCCTCTCACCCTATCTCTCCCATTCCTTCTACCTCTTCCTCTGCTCACTCTCTCTCTCAAATAAATAAATAAAATGTTTAAAAAAATAAAATTGTTAGAAAGTTAAGAAACTATATTTGAAATATATAGTTTCAAAAGTCTAATTATTGACTTCTAGTATTTCTGCCCTTTCTTTCTTTCTTTCTTTCTTTCTTTCTTTCTTTCTTTCTTTCTTTTTTTTTTTTGTATTTCTGCCTTTTAATGTGACTTTATCAACCATAGACT